GGATTGGCCATGGGAAATTGTCCCGTAGTGCCCAGGGATGTGCAGGTTAGGGTGGATTGGCCGTGGAAATGTTGGGTTAGGGGGATAGGTTGGGGGGAGCTGGCTGTGGGTGGGGTGCTGTTCGGGGAGACAGTGCAGGGAACTGTCTGACCCACAGCTAATTGTGACCAGGAGCGAGCACCCTGTCTGAACCATGGACCATCACTGCAATTAGTCAGATACTATGTGGAAGTTAGAGATATGCAGGGCTGAGTACAGGAGCTGGGATGCCTTGCTGCAATTATACAGGGCCTTGGTGAGGAAATCACACGACAACAGGTTTATTTGAAAACACAAGCTTTCGGAGCGCTGCTCCTTGGTCAGGTGACGTCCTTGTGAAGCCAAATAAACCTGGACTATAACCTGATGTCGTGTGACTTCTGACCTCGCCCACCCCAGTCCGACTCCAGCACCTCCCCATCAGGGCCTTGGTGAGACCACACCTGGAGTATTGTGCGCAGTTTTAAGGTCTCGTTCCCTGGTGATGGAGGGACTGCAGCGCAGGGTTTCCCAGACTGATTCCTGGGTTGGCAGAACTGATGGACAGAGAGAGATTGGATCATTTAGTGATGAGGGGGAGTCTCATAAAGTTCTAACAGGTCTGGACGGGGGTAAACACAGAAGGAAGGATGTTCCCAATGACTGGGGAGTCCAGAACCAGGGGGGTCACGGTCTAAGGATACAGGGTGGGCCATTTCGGACTGAGCTGGGGAGAAATGCTTCACCCAAAGAGTGGTGAGCCTGTGGAATTCCCTGCCACAGAAAGTGTTTCAGTCCAAGACATTAAATCTTTTCAAGAAGGAGGTAGATATAGTTCTTGGGGCTGAAGGGATCGAAGGGGATGAGGGTCTTGAGTCGGATGATCAGCCATGATCACATTGAATGGTGGAACCAGCTTGAGGGGCAGAATGGCCTATTTCTACCCTAGTTATTCAACCTATTTTTCCAATCAACCCACTCGGAGATGTCATCCCAGGAGCAGCTTGAATCAGGGCCTCCCAGTCCAGGAGCAGGGACGCTACCAGTGCACCACCTGCTCCTATCCGCTCCATTTCTAGGTTTTCCTGTTGGACTGGGACCAGTTTATGGAGCTCCCATTTGGAACGAGGGACAGAGCGTGGGGGAGAAGGCTATATATCTGAGATGGTATTGCTGAGGATCTCGGTCAACGGTCTGGAGTCATGGGTTCAAATCCCACCTGAGCGGCTGTTGGAATTCTGAGCTCGATTTAATAAAACTCAGTTGTCATATTAGCCCCAAAATACAGCGAGGAGACATTGGAAATTATAGACAGAATGGGCTGGAAGAGACTAAACAGGGAGAGAAACAGAGTTAACTTTTACAAGTCCGTCAAACTCAGATTCAGCATCTCAGCTCGGCCAGACATCCAACTGTAAGAAAATATAGCTGCAACTTTTTCTATTTTTGTAGAAACTTGTCACGTTCGCTAACGGAGCAAGGAAATCTGCCGCCCTCCCACCCCCCACCAAACACCCACCAACACCCCCGGTCTGGCCCACACATGACTCCAGACCCCCACGGCGACAGGGCTGATTCTCAGCTGCCCTCTGAAATGGCCCGAGCTGGTCAGTCAGACCAAGGGGCAATTAGGGACGAGGAGTAAGTTCTGGTCTCATCTGTGACACCCTGGGAAAGGATAAATAAAATCACAGGATCCGGGATGGCACACTGCAGGCGGTACAGACGGACACTGTAAAAGATCTCAAGCCACTACACAGAGAGGCCATTCAGCCCCTTAATTAACAAACACTGTCACGCAAGTCAACAGTTGTTTTTGTTACAGACCCTTGCCCCTTGTGAATAGCAAGTCTCCCGGATCCTGAACCAGTATTTATTCCTCAACTTAAACCAGAAAATATTCCCATAAGTAAAAATGAGAAAAAGAGACTGCATAGGCTGGGACATTTCTCGCTGGAGCGTAGGAGATGACCTTATAGAGCTTTATAAAATCATGAGGGGCTTGGATAAGGTGAATGACAGGTGTCCTTTCCTGAGGCTGGGGGAATTTCAAGACTAGGGGATATATTTTTAAGGTGAGAGGGAAGAGATTTCAAAAGACATTAGGGGCATTTATTTTTACACAGAGAGTGCTTCATTAAGTGGAATGAACTTCCTGAGGAAGTGGTGAATGTGGGTACAGTTACCACGTTTAAAAGACATTTGGATAAGTACATGGATAGGAAAGGTTTGAAGGGATAGGAGCCAGGAGCAGGCAGGTGGGACTAGTCTGGTTTGGGATTATGGTCGGCACGGACTGTTTGGGCCGAAGGGCCTGTATGACACTAAGAAACACAATGAAACCGGTTACCTGTTTGTAATCCCTACTGTCCCTACTGCAGCGGTTCAAGTAGGCAGCTCTGCCCAACCTTCTCAAGGGGGAAGCTAGGGACGGGGCATTGGGCCTGGCCAGGGACACCTCCCCCTACCCACACCCCACACCTCACGTCCCGCGTCAAAGAATGATCAGGTTCTGTGGGAGCTGACTGCGAGCAAATTGGGCACACGGGCAGGGAACAGGGCTGAACTGGCTCAGCCTTACAGCCAACTATCCACCTTTTGGGGTGGGCAGAAAAAAAAACAAAGCGGTGCCTCAGCGTGGGGAGGCGGCAGGAGATATACAAATGCAACTCAATTATTTGAACTGGGTGAAAACGTCAACGCAATTTTCGAGAAAAGCAACGAGCAGCAACTGAGGAAATATGCGAGCGGGAGCCAGATTACCTGCTGGAGAGGTCACTGAACGACCCCCCGTGTAGGAGGCGGATTTTACAGAAGAGGATCCCATTAACGAAGGGCACAGCTGACAGCTCCTCCAGGGTCAGGCTCACCAAGAACTTAAACTTCTTTTTCTTCATCAGGAACGCCATCAGGGAATCAGAGGGTGGGGTGGGGGGGGGGGGGGAGGGTGAAAATGGAGAGGCTGGGGGAATCAAAGAAAGAAAGACAGAGGAGAGAGAGAGAGAGAGCTCCCTGTCTCTCCCACTCCTGCTCGATGACCCTGTCACTTTTGGTTGCGGAAGACTTCCAGCCCTGCCTCCCAGGTCCACCCACTTCCAAAGCTGCTTGAGAAGAGGGAAGGAGGGAGGGAATAGCAGCTGGGAATTCTGAAAACACTCCAACCAAACGAAAGGTTGCAGGGAGAAGTTCAATTTAAATTGGACTGGGGTCTGAGCTGCAAAACACACACAGCAGCAGCGGCAGTTCTCAGATGTTGAAATACACACACTCTCTCCTATTTATACCAGCAGATCTTTTTTTTTAATAAAAGATTAGATGTGTGACTCAGGGTCAGACCTGAATCCCCTGTAGCAGCTGTTAATGAATCTTACAGAGTCATTTCCAGCCCAAGAGTTCCTGCTGCTTTAATCATCAGAGGGAACTCTCTCTCTCTCTCTCTATGCGATGGAGAACAGCCAATAGTTAGAAGCTGCAAATATGTTCACAGTCTCTCTCCCTCTCTGGAGAAGGTTGGGTTAGGATCGTGCCTATTCCTGGCCTCTCGCCTTGACTGGGGAGTTTTCAAAGTCAACAGATCTCCACTGTCATCCCACCAGGGCCCCCACTCCGCGATCAGATAGTTACCAGGTCAGCTCCAGCCCAGCCTTCCCCAGGATCAAAGGAATCTAGTTTCCAAACGCACCATCTCTATTGTTTTTCTAGTTTACAGAAACCACCCCCCAACAAGACCTGAAAACTGGACAGGATTTGAAAAGGTAGCAGTGGAGGAGGGGGGGAAGCAGAGTGCAGGGAGAGCCTGGTGAAGTGGGACTAGGAATTTCGAAGGGCCGGTAGTGCGGTGATGGGCTGAGTGGCCATGGCCTACGCTGAAGGAGCCTGCGATGGCAGCTCATATGCCAAGTGCCAAAGACGCGTCGCCTTGGCATGGAGGTGAGAACAACGTGGCCGTTTCCCGGTTAGGAGCGGTGGTATTGTCACTGGGCTAGGGGGACGACAGCTGGTGGGCACTTACGTTCAGTTCCATAAACCGGGAATCTGGACATTAGGAGCAAGAGGAGGCCATTCAACCCGTCTCCGGCCTGCTCTGCCATCTCCCGCCTGATCGTGGCAAATCGATTTCACGTGTTCACAATTCCACATTCCCACCCACACCCACTCCCCGCTCCAATCTCAGATTCCCCTTTCCAACAGAACTTTACCCATCACCGTCTTAAACAATATTCACAGATTCCCACCCCCACCCTCCAACTGGTTTCTGAGGCACAGCATCTCAGAGTAAGGGGTTGTAGACAGAGTTGAGGAGGAATTTCTTCTCTCCGAGGGGAGTGAATCTGAGGAATTCCTTACCGCAGAGGGCTGTCAGGGGAAGAGGCAGAAGGTGCAGAGAGGACTCGAGAGTCAACTCCTTTACAGCCAGAGGGTCTGGAATGAGACAGAAAGCCCCCAATCCCATCACATTTTACTCTTGTGCTGAGGTGAGATTCTGGAACTGGTGAAGCTATGGGTCAGGAGAGCTGCCATGAAGGATATCAGCTACTTCTCGGCTAGTGGGCTGAATGGCCTCCATCCCAGCTGTGAATCTCCACTGTTGCAATGAAGCTGATACATTCCCACAGGGCTAGGGAAACTCAGTCTCTGAGTCCGTTCAAAGTACAAATCAGTAGATTCTCAGGGGGCCGATGGCACTGAGGGGTGTGGAGACAGCTCGGAAAAGGAGCATTGAAGCAGCAGGGAGAGTCAGAATTAGCACAGGGTCTGATTAATTAATTCCAGGACTTTTTTAAAAAATACTACCTATGCCTTTCGGTCACCACTGCACCTAATCCTCTAAAGATTAGCAAAACCATACGCCAGAAACAGCGGGGCGTATAAAATCTAGAACACCAGCTCCTATAAAGTTGAAATATTTGAAACATATGATCAAAGTCATTTGGATGAGGAACCTTTTAAATATTTTAAACTCAGCTGGACTCCCCACATAAACACAGTGTCTACAAGAGCAGGTCAGAGGCTGGGAATCCTGCGGTGAGTAACTCCCCTCCTGACTCCCCAAAGCCTGGCCCACCATCTACAAGGCACAAGGCAGGAGTGTGAGGGAATACTCCCCCACTTGCCCCTGGATGGGGTACAGCCCCAACAACACTCAAGAAGCTCGACACCATCCAGGACAAAGCAGCTCCCGCTTGATTGGCACCACATCCACAAACATCCCACTCCCTCCACCACCGACGCTCAGTCACAGCAGTGTGGAGCATCTACAAGATGCACTGCAGAAATTCACCAAAGAGCCTCAGGCAGCACCTTCCAAACCCACGACCCACTTCCATCCAGAAGGACAAGGGGCAGCAGATACATGGGAACACCAGCCCCTGCAAGTTCCCCTCTGAGCCACCCCCCATCCTGACTTGGAAATATATCACCGTTCCTTCAGTGTCGCTGGGTCAGAATCCTGGAATTCCCTCTCTAAGGGACATTGTGGGTCAACCCACAGCACATGGACTGCAGCGGTTCAAGAAGGCAGCTCACCCCCACCTTCTGAAAGGGTGGGGGGGGGCAGGGGGGCAACTAGGGACGGGGATTAAATGCTGGGCCCAGCCAGCGACACCCACATCCCAGGAATAAATTTTTAAATACTGTCCTTTGTGACTACCTTCCAGAAATTATATATGCCTTGCCATCAGTGAAGGATTGGTGAGAACCCCACACCCAGACATCTCATGGACAATCAGACATACCAGTGAGCGATAGCAGTTGAGATCCCAGGTCCCACAGGAGAGCAGGGCAAGAGAGGTTAGAGTTATGGATAAGCTGCAGTGGTGTCCCGTTGCGGACAAAATGCTTGTAAGATGCTGAGGACACTGGCTTTGCGAGGAGAGGGCTGGTTATGATGGCAGCGTGTGAGATAGCGTGGCTCACTAAACATTTGTCCACCAGCCGTGCCTCTTGTTATTTTTCACTGAAGCGAAAGTGCACCTGGTTTCTGGCTCAATGCAGTTCTTCGGGTAAATCATTGACAGCCCTCACCATCCGTTTGCTCGTACTGTTATTGTTGAGCTGGGACCAATGATTTTGCCACTAAGGATTGCCAGTTGTTGTTGTAAATTTTCTTTCATGGGACGTGAGTGTCACTGGGCAATGCTCAGCATTTGTTGCCCATCCCTAATTGCCCTTGAATGGGGGAGGCGATGGCCTGGTGGCATTACCGCTGGACTGTTCATCCAGATAGATTTAGGTGTGCAAGATGATGAGAAGCATAGATAGAGTGGATAGCCAGAGACTTTCTCCCAGGTGGAAATGGCTATTATGAGGGGGTATAACCTTAAGATTGGAGAATGGTATAGGGGAGCTGTCAGAGGTAGGTTCTTCACACAGAGAGTGGTGGGTGCGTGTGGAATGTGCTGCCGGCCCTGGTAGTGGAGTCAGATACTTTAGAGACTTTTAAGCGACTCTTGGATAGGCACACGGAGGATAGTAAAACGTAGGGTATGCAGGGTCGATTGATCTTAGTAGGATAATAGGTCAGCACAACATCGTGGGCCGAAGGGCCTGTACTGTGCTGTATTGTTCTATGTTCTAAAACGTTCTGGGACCTGGGTTTGAATCCCGCCACGGCAGATAGTGAAATTTGAATTCAATAAAAATATCTGGAATGAATAATCTAATGATGACCGTGAATCCATTGCTGATTGTCGGGAAAAACCCATCTGGTTCACTAATGTCCTTTAGGGAAGGAAACTGCCATCCTTACCTGGTCTGGACTACATGTGACTCCACAGCTATGCACTTGACTCTCAGCTGCCCTCTAAAATTGTTGAGCAAGCCACTCAGTTATACCAATCACTACAAAGTCTCTTCAAGGCCAACTAGGGACGGGCAATACATGCTGTCCACATCCCACAGAGGAATGGCCATTTCAGATGTTATATGTCAGCCACATCACTGTGGGTTTGGAGTCACGTGTAGACCCAGACTGGGTGAGGATGGCATATTTCCCTCCCTAAAGGGCATTGACGAACCAGATGTTTTCAAAGCAATTGATGGTAATTTGATGAATTAATTAATGGCATCTTTGTGTTAAAGACTTTTCTTAATTAATTGAGTTTAAACCCTGTGATCTGACTTGACTCATGTCCACAGAGCATTAGCCTGGGTCGCAGTGACATTACCGCTAGACCACCATCTCTGCCTCAACAGCAGCAAAATATGGACCATTAATTTTCAACTGTCGTCATCTTATTTTAATAGCAGGAACCTTCACCAACTTAAATGGCTTTTAAAGAAAGGAAGATGTCCCTAAAAATGCTATAACAACCACCCAAACACAGACTGAGATATGTTCAACAATCTCATGTGGGATTACAAAACAGTCAGAGCTGAAAAGACCATTTTATTGAAAGACATTGACAGCCAATTGAGGCAGGCACTGAAGAACTCGTTCCCCAGTGGCTAACACACACATCCCTGGGCACTACGGGACAATTTAGCACGGCCAATCCACCCTAACCTGCACATCCCTGGGCACTTCGGGACAATTTAGCACGGCCAATCCCACCCTAACCTGCACATCCCTGGGCACTATGGGACATTTCCTACAGCCAATCCACCCTAACCTGCACATCCCTGGGCACTACGGGACAATTTAGCACTGCCAATCCACCCTAACCTGCACATCCCTGGGCACTACGGGACAATTTAACACGGCCAATCCACCCTAACCTACACATCTTTGGACTGTGGGAGGAAACCAGAGCACCCAGAGGAAACCCACGCAGACAATGTGCAAACTCCACACAGACAGTTGCCCGAGTCTGGAATTGAACCCAGGTCCCTGGCGCTGTTAGGCAGCAGGGCTAACCACTGAGCCAAGCTGTCTGAATCCTTTCGATTAGACTTTTGTTTGTTAGTCACTCCATTGTTCAGG